CGGCCCGGCGCGGGCACCGCCAGCGAGGCCGTCCGTGCACACACGGATCCGTCCCCACACACAGAGCTATCCATACACACAGAGCTGTCCACACACACACAGAGCTGTCCACACACACACAGCTATACACACACACAGAGCTATCCCCACACACACAGAGCTATCCACACACACACAGAGCTATCCACACACAGAGAGCTATCCACACACAGAGCTATCCTCACACAGAGCTATCCACACACGGATCCATCCCCACACACAGAGCTGTCCACACACAGATCCATCCCCACACGGATCCATCCCCACACACAGCTCCATCCCCTCACACGGCTCCATCCCTGTCCTAGTCCATCCCCACATGTGACTCCATCCACACACATGGATCCATCACCATACATGGATCCATCCCCACACAGCTCCATCTCTTCATGCCTCCATCCCCAGTCGGGTTCAGACCCACACACGACTCTGTCCCCTCCCGAGTCAATCCCCTCGTGGCTCCATCCCCACACATAGATCCATCCCCACACAAGGATCCATCCCAACTCGGGTCAGACCCACACACAGCTCCGTCTCCACAAGGATCCATCCATGCACAGCCCCATCCACACTCAGGTTCAGACCCATACACAGCTCCATCCACACGTGGATCTGTCCACACATGGCTCCATCCACACTCGGGTCAGACCCACACACAGCTCCATCCCCTCCTGAGTCAATCCCCACACACGGGTCCGTTCACACACAGATCTATCCACATACAGCTCCATCCCCACTCGGGTTCAGACCCACACACAGCTCCATCCCCACACAGCTCCATCTCTTCATGCCTCCATCCCCAGTCGGGTTCAGACCCACACACGACTCTGTCCCCTCCCGAGTCAATCCCCACACACAGCTCCATCCCCACACAGATCCATCCACACACACAGATCCATCCCCACACAAGGATCCATCCCCACTCGGGTCAGACCCACACACAGCTCCATCCCCTCACATGGCTCCAATCCTTTCCTAGTCCATCCCCACATGTGGCTCCATCCACACACGGCTCCATCCACAAGCAGAGATGTCCACACACAGCTCTGTCCCCTCTTGAGTCAATCCCCACACAGCTCCATCCCCACACAGCTCCATCCCCATGCTGCTCCAACTCCACATACCTCCAACCTCACAAATGGCTCCATCTCCACCCGAGTCCATCCCCACAGACAGCTCCATCCCCATACACAGCTCCATCCCCTCCTGAGTCAATCCCCTCATGGTTCCATCCACACACACAGCTCCATCCCCACCTGGATCCTTCCCCACTCATGGCTCCATCCCCTCATGGCTCCATCCCCTCACAGTTCCATCATCCACCCATGACCCTCCAGCCCCACAACCTCTTCCCTGTCCCTGTGTGAGCAGGAAAATGGGGAACACACCGGTGGAGAACATACTCCCATCTGAAGGGGCATGTGCATCACTCCCTGAGGGGACATACAGCTCCCACTTGAGGGGACACAAACCTCCCACTTGAGGGGACACAGCTCCCACCTTGAGGGACACACACCTCTCACCTCAAGGGGACACACAGCTCCCACCCCGAGGGTGCTGGTGCCTCAGTGTGGTGTCAGCAGTGCCCTCAGCCCATGCAGCCCTTGAGTTCTTAACGAGAAACACCTGTTCCTAATTAGCAGTGACCGCTCTGCTGTTCTCCTGCTGCCTCTGCCCACTGTAACCCTACAGATTGCAGTAACTCGGTCTGGTTCTGTCTGCTGCAGGGATTAATGCACTCCTGGTGGTACAGATATCTTTTAGGATCAGTTAGGACCCTTTGGAATCTAGTAATGGAATTAACCATGTGTGATTAGTTGTCCAGAGAAGTTGTGTCTGCCCCAAACCTGTCAGTGTTCAAGGCCAGGCTGGACAGGTCTTGGAGCAGCTTGGGCTGGTGGAGGGTGTGGAACAAGATGGGCTTTAAGGTCCCTTTCAAATCAAACCATCTGTATTAGCTACACAGGAAACAATGTGGGACTGGGAGTCCCCTGAGATGGGCTGCACAGGACCACCCAGCACCCACCATCCTTGGGAGAAGGAAGATCCTCCCTCTGCCAGTGTCCTCCACACAGTCCCACCAGACTAAGGCACTGGGCAAACACAGACAACAACAGGAGAAGTGAATTGCCATCAGTAAGGAGACTGAGTCAACACTCAGGACCCTAGAAAAGTAAGGCTCCACTTTATAAGATGAGGTTTTGCTACACACACAGAGAACAGGAAAGTGTTTGGTCTTCACTCACAGGAAATGTCCACACTGAAATGTGTGCAGAGACTCCAATCCACCCCACCTTCATCAGAGGCACTGTGACAACACACTGTGTTAGCCCCAACAAGATGTGGGTGATATTTTCCAGCACAGATGCTGCTCCAGCACCTGAAACCAGTAAATGTTCTACCGCAGAGCCACACGCAGGCGTTGGTGGATCTGCCCCCGCAAGCAGAGCTGCAGCTCTGCCGCCCCACGGCAGCTCAGGGCCCTGTCACAGCACTGGAAGGTCACCCTGTAGCACAGGCTCCTCCGTCCAGTCTCTGGCTGCTGGAAACTGTCCACCAGCTGGATGGAAACCACCGTTTCCCCTGACACCTGCCTAGCTATGGTGTGAAAAGCAACTTCATCGAACTGCTCCCCAGCGGGAAGCCAAAAGCTGATGTCGTGCACGTAGGAGGGTGGGTAGAGGGAAAAACTCTTGAAAAGCCTCAGCTCTCCTCTAGGAAACTGGCGCAGGAACCGTGGGTCTGACGTCCAGAGCATTCTCCAGTCGGGTATTCCACACGTCAGCATGGCCAGGAGGTCAAGGTTCAGTGAAGCAAAGACAACCACCAGCTCACTGCTCACTACTTCTTGAAGAGCTGTCCTTATAACCCCCACACAGCAGCTCTTCCACTCTTGAAAAGCCTCAGCTCTCCTCTAGGAAACTGGCGCAGGAACCGTGGGTCTGACGTCCAGAGCATTCTCCAGTCGGGTATTCCACACGTCAGCATGGCCAGGAGGTCAAGGTTCAGTGAAGCAAAGACAACCACCAGCTCACTGCTCACTACTTCTTGAAGAGCTGTCCTTATAACCCCCACACAGCAGCTCTTCCCTGTCTCCTTCTCCCAGGAGCCTGAGGGATCTGTCTCCTTCTCCCGGGAGCCTGAGGGATCTGTCTCCATGCAGATGAAGTACTGAATTTTACCAAGCTGTGATTCAAAAGCAGCAAGGTCATTGAGCTCAGTTGTTTCACAGCTCATTGCTTCCTGCAGGCTGATACTTATTTTAATGCTGGAAACAGACTGGTGAAGAGAATATTTAATGTTGTTCACCAACATCTGGATACAGCTGTTCTCTGTGCCCCTGTTAACTGCAAGCACAAGAAGCATCTCATGGAAAACAGGCATGGAGAGAGGAGAGATGTGGCACTGCCTGAACACTGGGCCAGACAGAACATGGAGTGTCCCTGGGAAAAAGGATCCTCCTTGTATTATTGCCTGAGCGTGAGGCAGGAGGGAAGGTCTAAGGCAAAACTGGTTTGGAATGTGACATCCTTCCTGAATATCTCCACAGCCATTCTCAACTGTGTCCTGGCAAAAATCCATATGGGAAAATGAAACTGCATTTGCCAGTCCATTAGACAGTTCCTCAGTGTTTGGAGTCTCCTCTGGGCTCACAGTGATCCAAAAGATATTGGAGTGACAAACACCATCGAGGTGGCCTTGGTGGAGCAGAGAGAGGCAGGAGTCAATGTTCTCTAAGGGAAAGGCTTGGCTGAGCCCTGCTGTGAGCTTCTCCTTCACTGTCCTTACTGGGTGGTTGGAGTTCGGGTCTAGGAAACCCCTGTGAAAAATAAAAGTGCAAACGACAGGTATCACTCCACAGATTTCCTTGGAAAGCCTTCTGTGATTAGGGTCATTCCCACTCAGAGCAGGACAGTGCCATTGCCAAACAGAAACTCATCCTAAAACTTACCTATTAATTTTATCCACAAGGACTTGTGGCACTTGGAAAGAAACACTTTGGCTTTCTAGCTGGATCCTGCAGCTCAAGGGAGTGAAACATGGGAGTGCTGTGCTTCGTGTGAATATGTGGTTCAGAGCACCCTCCACACAGAAGGATTTGTCCTGACTCCTGACAATACACAAAAACACAACAAAGTCATCAGTGGTTTCCTATATTTGATGTATCACAAGTAAGTCTTACACAGGGAACTCTGAGCAACACTAACACACCCCTCAGTGAATCCCAAGTCTTGTTACAAGGAGACAAAAATGCAATCCCACTCTGTTTTTACTAGTCCAACCTGGGAACAAACTGCACAGAGAGGTTGTGTGTGTCTGTCTGAGATTGACATTTGTCCTGAAATGGACAATTTTGACCTTCAAAATCCTAAAATAATCTTATTTTTCCAGGGTACCTTGGAAAGAATCTTGCATTTTAATCTTGGCTGTTCTGCTTAGAGACAAAAATGAACTGCAGCTATTTTAAGGCAAATCAAAATGAGTTCCTCTCCAACAAACAAGACACTAAGAGAACACACTATTGCTGGGTATGGGAAGAGCACAAATATCAGTTTCTCAGCTTGGCCATGTGATGGTTACCTGTAGCCTGTACATCTATATCCAGGGATAGCCTCTGCATTAAAAGGAAGAACACTACTCAAGACAAATCCAGCTCCTGCTGCCACAGCCACTATTTGCCAGCTGTTGTGCCATTCCCTCCTCGGCTGATCCGCAGGGGTCCCACCTTGGCCGTTGCACAGAGCCACATGGACCTCTCCCTCCTCTGCCAGCACTTCTGCAGCGCTGGAAGGAAAGCCAAGCAACAAGAAGAATCCTGTTAGTACACCCACAAGTTGTACAGTGCCAGAAAAACACCTGGAATAACAGCTAGAAACCTGGATCCCAGCAGGCAACCAGCACAGAACTATTCCTGGTTTACTCACCTACAGAAGAAGTGAGCAAGGAGCTCTCTGTTCTTCACCACCCCAGCCTTCCTCCCACAGTGAGGGAAGTTGAAATAAATACAGTCAAATCCTCTTTTTTCTGGAGGAAAATAGTCCTTCAGCTTGGTGCAGTCCACAGAAAACACAACTTCGGCTCCTTCAACAGTAAGCAAAAAACAAGGCTCTGATGTTTATCATTAGGGAAAATTTTAAAGCAAGATAGGAATGCTGGGGGTTGGTCTCTTCTCCCAGGCAACCAGCAGCAGGACAAGAGGGCACAGACTCAAGCTCTGCCAGGGGAGGGTTAGCTTGGATATTAGGAAGAGATTTTTTACAGAGAGAGTGATCAGACATTGGAATGTGCTGCCCAGGGAGGTGGTGGATTCACCATCCCCGAAGGTTTTCAAGCTGAGACTGGATGTGGCACTTAGTGCCATGGTCTGGTGACCACGGGAGGGTTGGATTGATGATCGTGGAGGTCTCTTACACCTGGTTGATTCTATGATTCTATGATTCTAAGGCCTCTAGTCCATTTTGAAGTGCATCAGAGCTGCCAAGCACCTCCCCTGAGCACTCAGAACACCAGGAAGCCCGACCTGCCTTTCCCCTCCTGCAGAAACTTCTTGAAAACCTTGAAAACCCTTGAAAAAATAGCTCTTTCCGTACTATTTCAATACTGTTTCAATCCGATCAGATTTTAAGGTTTGCCATTTAGCCTCTTGGACCCTTTCAGCATCTCATCTGAGATGCCTGAGCCGAGGGGTCCCAGGGGACCGGAGAGCTCCCGGGGGACAGCAGTGCGGACACTGGCGGAATGATATCGCTCCG